TCAGCGCCTAACGTCACACATATACATATGTCTTTAGAAAGAAATAACGCAGAACTGCATTGACCTGCAGAACTGGGTAAAAAAGATTTCAACGCGAGCACCGAATGTAAACGGCAAAGCAGGTAAAACCCTTGCGTGATACTTCGATGCACTCGTAAATATATCACAGTTGATTTTCTTAGTAAGCATAATTGCTATCGAGACGAAATTTGGCTTAGTTAGTTAGTTCTACAACTTAATTACCCGAATCTATAGTAGGTGAAAGAAATTAGAATTTCTTTTCAATTGTACTTTACAGATTCTAACTTATATAGGGGTGCGGGTAACATCCACAAATATTGGATGGAACTACTCAAAGGGGTAGATATATATCCATATCCAGAACTAACGGTTTCGGATTGGTTATACTGTGCCCTCCTTTTTGATTTTAAATACACAAATAATAAAATAATTACTTACTTACTAACCTAATTTTAAGACAAATTGGTAACAATTTTATTAATAATTAACATTTAGTAATAATTAACTACTAATATTACTATGGATGATGTCTGAAATAAATAATACTTTATTTTGTTTATTTTTTATTTTATATTCTCAAAAATATGCAAAGAACCGATGTTGTCGTCGTTCGCCACAACTCTCAATGACGTCCTATTTCCGAAGTTTATAAACCGAAAACGTAGATCAGACTACAAGATTGTCCTGTATGTTTGTTTGTTGTCAAACACTTGATGTCAGATTTATTAAAATGTCTGATATTTCTAGAGAAATTGCAAAACAAAAAATACAGCCCCGTATACTCAATAGCTTTCAAGACAATGAAATTTGTACCCTTGGTATCATAACACTACATATTATTGTATTCCCACGTCAAAAGTACTTTTATCACATGAAAGTTATAAAAAAAACCACACGAATAAATTATGCATTTGTGAAAGTTTATAACTTTCCTTTTTCAGCACAAAAAAGTTATATCGAGTTCTTAGGTTTCGCGATTGTTACACATAGGAAATTTAACTATTTTCCCGGATTTAAATCGCGTATATTTGTTGTTATCAAACAGTATTTCCTCTGATGAAAAATCCCAAACAGACATAAGACTGCAGTACTAATAATATGTTTTAATTTATTCTAATTTCCATTATTAATTAATAGTAAATTTAACTTAATAAAAATTCATATTGTCGAAAAAAATAATTTGTAAAACATAATGTAGCGTAAATTGGAATGATTCTTTGTAAAATTAAAACAAGATATATAATTAATAACTTTTGTAACTATAGTGAAAAAATAGGATGGTTTGCATTAATATTAGACATGACTGGTTGATGAATGTACCACCTCAGTCAACCGTGACCATGGGACCTGTAAAGGGCCCGAAACATCGGTTTGTTTGAAAATAACAAATATTAACTATAATAATATTAATTACTAAAACGCGATTTAAATCCCGAAAAAATTTTCATTTCCCACACAAAAAAGTTATCGGCTAATTTTGTTGGTAGAATTAATCAACCTCTCTCCTGAAAAGTTGTCTTTCTGTAGATGTGGCCTTATTACACCAAGAATTGCGAATTACTGCAGCAAACGCCTCATTGCCGTGCTTAGTTACATACGAATAAAAGCAAATGCGCGCAATGTAAATTATCAGTTTTACAGGCGTTTGCAAATTCTTTTGATAGTAGGTAAAACATAATGAGACTAGACTACCTACCATGTGCAATGCAAAAGGTAAAGAAACGGGCAGGAGGAAATCCAAAAAGGAAAGGAAAAATGATCAGAAGAGCTAAAATTAATTAATATGACGAGATGATCCTTGGAGGTAAGATGATCCTTTTCAATTGTAGCGAAACTAGTAACGTCATCTAGGTATTTTCTTCAGTAAAATGTAGCCCTCAATGTGCCCTCTCATCAGTCAATTCGTAATAGCGATGTGAGTGACGAGTTCATTTTTGTGGAAAAAAACAAAAATTGTGTGAGTTTGATCTAAGGTAAAGTTGATTAAAAGCTTAGGCAACTTCCATTCTAAGCAATCAAATGCTAAGATTTTTGTGTTGGTGGCTTTGCAAAATGCTCTATTTACTTTTTTAACGGCGTGGTAACAGTAGACAGCATACAGGTTATTTTGCCGAACAAAAAATAAAAATAAGTAAATTAGGGCAAGATGAATATCTTTGGTGTACAAGATGATTCGTGGGGATCATCTTGTATTGTATATATTGTTAATGGACCATATTTAATTTGTATGTTTTTCTGAGTACTGAAACCTCTTAATTAAATAGCTTGCAATACGAATAAAATAGTAGAAGACTGGATTTCGTTTACATGATCGATCTCGATGAATAACAAATATAAATGCTTTTTCTTGCTTTAGACCAGGCCGCGTAATTGTAAAAGAAAAACCATTCGTAGTGGGTGGTCGGGAAACTATGATCTAAAGAACTATAGGTGTAAAAAGTAGGACGCCACATAAATCGGCAAGTAAATAGTTAACAGTAGGTACGCGTTATGTCATTAAAAAGACGGGCTAAAGGTGAAAATAAAGGGTCTGTCAGTTCAATGAAATATTTAGGTTAAAAAAAAACTGTTCTCATCAGATGTGTTAAACAGGAAATCGAGCTCGTAAAGTACACTAAAGAAATGGAGACGAGTATGGATATCAACTTGCCATAAAAAGCAATATCACCCACCCTTAGGTACCTGTAAAATATAAATTAATTAGGATTATTTGTTCTCGAAGTTCCGTAATTGTTGTTTCATATACCTAGATTACATAAGTGAGGGCTTTGTTAAGTCTAAAAAGTTGTTGTTTTCATTTGTTTCTACCAAAACCTAGAAATTTTCCTAAATAGAAGCAAGGTGATTCCCTCGATCATTTTGCCCATACCCTTAAGATCATTTTGGACACCGGGGTGTCCAAGGCGATAATTTAGTAGGGTTTTAAAATTTTTAAAACCCTAATTTTATAAGGTTTTAAAATGGAAGATCAAAAAATAAAACGTTTTTAGTAAGACAACAATCAATAGATAAATTTTCTATCTTTCAACGCTTCTACATCTGCTTTAAGCTGAATATCTTTTAAAGTACCACCATTCTTCCTCAAGGGGATCATCTGGTACGCCTTTCCCCTAATATTATGAATTATACCAAGGTACCTATGGAGTAGATGAAATGTGTCTGAGACCTGTATAATAACATTTAGCATATCTGTAGCACTTAGTAGCATTGCAAAGTTTAAAACAACTACCGTGCCCTGACCGAATGAATTAAACAGTGGACGCAATAATTTGCGCTTACAGTGCACCTCGCTAACTGAAACTGGGATTAAAATCGCGACGTAGTCCAATACCAGACCAAGAAACCACATCTGCCTTTCCTCTCAGAGATGCAAACCAGATTGCACGGCGGTCGACGTGACTAGAGATACTTTATTTTACACAGAATTTTCTCTAGTACATAATTATAGGCTATGTACCTACGTACCAAAACGTTTCACAATAATACAAAAAACAAATTAATAAATGGTAAGACTAATTGTCTAACTATAGTTTGTGACAGTTAAGACTATCGAGTAGCTCTTAATTTGTTATTAGGTAGGTACTTAGTAATGCCGTCAGAAGTTAAAATATTAGGTATATATTTTCTAAGTTGTTTAAAAAGGTTTCAAACCACATTCAAATGTGATTTCGTAATTCGCATTCGAGTTTAACTACATAAGACATTTTTGCTAAATTCGCTCATGAGGCGTTAGATTTGGTAAAAACAATTTTGCTAGCCGTGCTATCCTAATAATTAGCCGTGATCATGGGACCTGTAAAGGGCCCGAAACGTTGGTTTGTTTGAAAAAACAAATATACGTTAATCAGGCCGAATATTCCGTATATGATAAGGCGTGTCGCTTACCATCCGGCGTACGACTTGTTCGTCCGTCACTTGGCATTATTAAAAAAAATACGAGGTCGAACAAAACTATTCGTTGCAACACTAAAATTTTTATAGAAATATCATTCATTACCATGTTCATTACACTCATTACAGTCGTTTCAACTTCTTGTCGAAATAAGAAATGTTTAATTTAAGTACAACTAAGTACAAGTACGAAAGTAGTTATTCGGTACCTAACAAACTTGGTAGATAAAGTATCCTAAGTAACTTATTTATCAAGGGGAAATTCTTGTCACCTACAACTACCTCTCAACTACTTTTGAACATTACTACATAAAACATTCTATGGGAAGTCGAAAATTATTTTTGTACTGAAAACAGTTGTGAAGTAGGTACGCAAGAGCACATCAACCTTGACACTACATACTTTGAACACTATTTGGACCTTTCTTTATGCAAGCGGCACCACAGACTATTAAGAGGTATTATGAGCGGCATAGAAATGAATTTAAGCTCTTACATGTGGTCACAATTCTGTGTACGTTTGATGAATCATGTTTATTAATGGTTTGTTGTATGTTGAATCAGATTTACTAGAGAATCAAGAACACAGTAAATAACAAAGATTTTTTCCCCATTTCCTTGTAATTCAGTAAACGCTTGGTACGGTTGAATAAACTTAAGAGAACAAGTAGGAAGCTAACGACCGTGCTCAAGTAACAGCATTTTGTAACCACTACAGGTATTATTAAGTTTCTCTCGAGTTTTCGCTGCTCGATGGAAATGCTATAGTTACTTGTATTAAATATCGGGTAGTCGTGAAAAACTCCAATCGCGCGATAAGTCCCAGACGAATGAAGGCGGGAACTGCTTACGTCAGAGCGAGTAATGACGAATTCTAGGAAAATCACTTTTATTCTCTGACTTGTAGCGGTGAAATTGGCAGATAAATGATAGAAACGCTTAGTCGAGTGGAGTGTGGTTGGGTTTTGGACTTTACTGTGTGATATCAGAGATGGTTTCGGTAGGTCGATGAGGAGAGAAAGCACTTTCCGGTCGTGCGGAGTGTCGCCAGCCGGCGGGCTGGATGAATGACGCAGATGAAACGGGCTGGAGCGACTGTCGAGGGCCGCGCCGCGCCAGTCGAGTGCAGTGCGCTTGCAAGCGAGGACTTTACGGCGTACTCGGATATATGCGCCGATTTCCTCTTCGCGATCTTGTTGTTGCCGTGCACCGACAATAAATGACAGCAAAAAGTTCCGTTATATAGCACAGGATTTTCCTCCATCTCCTCAGGGTGAGTACGACTAAAATTTGTCTGTAGTCATCTTAAAGTTACTTTAGTTTTTGTTAATAGGTAATAACAGTTTTTGTTGAGATTAAAAATTGAAAGAAAACTGTCCTTTGATTTATAATACCTATTTTATATTGTTAGGTGTATATATACTTAGCTACAGTTTGTTAAATTATATCTAATAATAGAATTTTAACCAAAACGTCCTTACACGATCTGAACATCTCACCAGCTGTTTACTTACAAAATGGATATACACCAAGTAAACAGTTTAGAACCAACTAAGTACTATATTAATTCAAAAGAAATTTAACCAACAACTTGTCAATCACATTAGTTATTTAAATCACGACTTTCACCGAACAAAAAGTGGTATACATTGTTTGTTGATTCACATTGCAACGTGCAGGCGCGATTTTCAAGCTCCATAAGAAAACGAGCGATCATTGGGATCTATAAAAAAAAAATCGTAGACTTCCTAATAAGCAGTGATAAAATCTACAATACCATAAGTGGACACAATTATTTGCATTAAAAGTTAAGCATCAGTTTTGTTCAAATAAAATCACAGACATTCACTTTAACTTACAAAAAATTAAAAATACAAGCTAGACGTTTATGCGTGCAAAGTTAAATGTATAAACCTATAGTTTCATTTAGTCATTTAAAAACGAAAGTCGCAAACGTTAGCGGCATCGTGATAATAGGGTCAATGAGTCAATGTGCCAACGCCAAACAGAAGAAAGCTGCAACCCGTTGCGAACACACAGTATTTGTCAAATAATCTGTAATGAGGTATATAGTTCTTCATTTCATATTGAAACTTTTTGTATTCTATTATATGTGGGAATTTGCTTTCTGCACAGAAGCGTTTATATTTATATTTGAAATTCAAATAGTTCCGTGGTCCATACTATTTTACCCTACTATATCAATTTTGTAACATTTAGAAGTCGGTTAAGAAAAAAGGATTAATAGGTAATAATAATGGTTTCAGTAGCAGTAGAGCTACTTCTGAAAGTATTCGTCTGGAGTTACTACTGGGGGTATTGCCACCTTACCTAGTTCTGCTGCCAAGCAGTAATGTCAGCTTTACAAGTGTTCCGGTTTTGAAGGGTAAGAAGGGTGCTGGTGAAATTACAGGCACATGACACTTGTCAACTTATGTCTCGGGGTGACGGGCGCAGCGGTAGTGCCCCGCAGATGCTTGCAATTTAAAGCCCTAAGTTGCACTGTAAATGTTATGGACAGGCGTGTCGGCAGAGCCAGGTCCTAGGTCCTCTAGAAAGGTCAGAGATGCTAGAGACTCTTAACCGCGATCCATGGGGAAGGCCGTATAAGACGGTGCGATACAAACTGCGCCCTTGGGCACCTCCACTAACGCAGAGTCTCCAGCCCGAGCTGCTGGACAGGGTTGCGGGAGCCCTGTTTCCAGACAGGGCTCACCATACGCCCCCACCGATGGCGCCGCCATTGGAACTGAGTCAGGACGAGAGAGGCAGCACATATGTGCAACAGGTCATCGAGGCAGAGTTGGGTGCAGCGATATTAAAGCTGAGTGGCGAAGACACCGCCCCAGGCCCCGACGGAATACCTGATCGCGAACTGGTGCTGGCTTTAGGCCCCTTAGAGCCAGGAATGAGAGGCTCATGATCGTGTGCCTGGAATAGGGTCAGTTTCCGGAGAGGTGGAAGACAGGCAAGCTGGTCCTGCTCCAAAAAGAGGGACGATCGGCCGACTCGCCATCGGCATACAGACGCCAACGGCATCGTTCAGCTAGGTGAGACGAGCAAACTCTTGTGGAGTGGTCGCAGCTCGCCTCATCAGGCGTCTGGAGGGGACGAGATCTGATCTCAGCACCAAGCAGTTTGGTTTCCGCCGGGGCAGGTCCACCATTGAAGCCATTGCGCGAGTGAGGGACCTGGCGGAGGATGCGGTGGGCAGACGCGAAATTTTTTTGGCGGTGTCTCTTCTGCCGACGCCTGTATAGGGGTGGTGCGCTCGATGGCCTTGTATGGGGCGACTAAATGGGTGACCAACATCGATGCTCAGGGCAAGACCATGTTGCGGACACCGCAACAGATTCTAGCAGTCTAGGCGCACGACTTGTTCGTCCCGTCACTTGATGTTATAAAAAAAAATTACAAAAAAAAGGGCGAGTTCTTAGAGTTTTCGCGATTGTTGCTTACAAAAAATTAACAATTTCTTCGGATCTAAATCGAATATATTTGGTTTTTTTTTTCAAACAAACCAACATATACAGTTCCCATGACCATGGTCCGAAATGTTGGATTGTTTAAAAAAAAATAAAGTGGGGACGCGATTGAGATGAGAAATAATAGTTTAATTTCCTATAATGTGCATTATATAACAGGATTTATTAAGATAAGATTCACTTTTGTAATATATTTTGTATCCAATTAAGAATTATTCGAGAGATTTGGCGTATCAGGGGGAGAGTCTACTCGTATAAACTGATATGATCACAACATTTGATGATGAGGTCATCATCACAAATGTATTTTTTTTTTATAACAATAACGCACTAGGGAAATCCTATGTCGCGAATGCCATGGACACACGCATAGACAACTTAAAATTACACCCAAACTCACGAGATAAATAAATGTAGGCCATACAAATATTTGTCCTGGCCCAGCAATCGAACCTGGGACCGCAGTGTGGTTCGGCCACGAAGGCCGTTAAAATTAACAATGATAAATGTACGCAGTTGGTCCTTCTGGAATCCTGTAATAAAATAAACATCAACTGGATTTAAATATAAGTTTATTTCTTTCCTTTAGCATTCAATTCGGAACAATCGATCGTAAAAAATATCGTAAATGATGTTTTCCATTTTTTTATATAACGCAAATATTTGTCACGCACTAGTTATGACTGTAATTTCATAATTTATAGTGTACGTCATTGTTGATTTCTAGCATATGGATGAAAATGAAATAGTGAAATAAATAACTTGTAATATTTAGGTACTACAACATAGTTAAACCCTTATAGTTTTGTTATTTTAACCATCTGTCTGTCTGCGTATACGGGAGTCAGCTTTTTTACGTACTAGGTTTATTTAACTAATTGTATTGAAATTTGGAGTGAAAATGTATTTTGATGACACAAAGGAGAAGTGAGAAAATGTGTGACTGACGCGCTCTTATCTAGTATTTTTATTATAACGGATATATGCCAACCTTTAAACTTCCTGCCTGCCAGTTGTAATAAAAATCATCGTACATTATTTATTGCAAATCGTAATGATGATGGTTGAAACAAGCAGCACATAAGCTTATTAAATGGTAAATTCACGTATCTACAGCTTAAAAATCAATAATTACTTAAAGTTTGAACGTTTTTTTAGTATGGATATACCCATTTTGTGTAATGGTCAAATTCATATTATGATTTCATAATATTACGATATGAACCCATAATATGAATTTCATATTACGGTAATCATTTACGATATCAATGCATAGAAAATTAGGCGACGAATAAAATTGATATACTAACTTACTAAAGTCATTGTTCTTTCAAAAGGAGAAACTCGACGAAGCCTTCATTGCGGATTGACATTTGTAATCAGTTTAGTTTTTGAACAAAATTGACAAACATTAAATGTACCAAAACCAACTTGTGCAAATATATACAATTTGTGGAATACACGATAAGATGCACGATGTTCGAGAGATCTGGTACTATGTAGTATCTTTTAAAAAAATTCAAAACTTGTCTAGACCCTGAGACGAATGGTTTTAAAATAAAACTAACATTGTTGAGCAGTCTTAGCAGCAGCTGTTACGTTAAAAACAAGATGTAAGATGTCAAATAATAAAACCGCGAATATTTAATAACGGCATTTGTTTCTATTGTATGTCTTATTTTATTTTCGTACTGTGTGAAAAAGATAACAGTTACTGCTTTCTACAGCGAATATGCGTATTATTGCGTATGCAAAGCACTCTTGTAAAATCTTTTGCTAAGTAAATCACACCTATAGGAACACAACTTTAAAGTAAAGGAAATAATTTGTCGCCAATGTATTCAAATATATCAATAATGCGCATATTCAAATATAATAAGTTCCGGGAAGTTCCGAGATTTGTAGAAGGGAATGTCCACTTTATTCTTTACGTTACTTGAATTTTAGGTTATTCCCTCAATTCCGATGTACATTACATACCTGTGAACTGACATTATAAACATTTTTTTTTAAATTAGTTTTTAATCAGAAATTTACGTAACTTAATTATACCATTTTCATATTTTTATTCCGTAAAGAAAAATCAGAGCATTCAAAACGTTATTAACTCTCTGTTCGACCTCGACCCGTTTCAACGTCTCCGCAAGCGGAAATCAAACTTGTTTAGTCTACCGTTATCTGCTCAGGAATAGGAATTTAACACAAGGTGTATTATTATTATTATTACAGTCCACTGAAATAGACCTTAATTGACGAATCGTAATTTGAATTCCTAGAAAACAATTCCTTTCCATAGTCGATTGCATAGTCACATACTATAGGCGAAAATCTACACTTTTATCGTTATGAAAACAGCACAGTAAAAGCACAATTAAATATATATTACAGCCAAGAACACACCAAGTTTGGCACCGTGAATTGTTCTTATAGCAAGCCAGGTTGAATCTTACGAGTCAGGCTTCACGGGCTCTTGACTCTGTACTAATAGTTTGTAATGGTAAACGGTGACAATATTATGTACAATTGCGCATGATTCTTCATACGTAATAAATTCATAACTTTTGTAATGTTATTTGATATTTCTGTAAATCAGTTATATGTATTTATGGTCATCATTCAAATCAGCTGATTTGGGCAACTAAAATTATGTATGGATTACCTACCTACATTTCCTCACATATTTTTATAACCGAGAAAGTAACAGTGTAACGTGACTAGGCTAAATAAGAGTGCTTTTCCACCGGCGGCGGCAGGGCGAGACATTGAAAGAATAATGTCCATTTTGGGC